TGATGAAATGGATAAAGGTAAAAGGATGTTTTACATATTTCAACGAAATGGACTTGGTTTTATATATCCTGTGTTAATTCACAAATATCAGCGTTACTTTTTTAGATATTGGGCTATTCACTCGTTTTCGTATGAAGTAAGGAACCGTCTTAGTGCTCTTTCAGAATTCAATAGTTGACCATTACAATAGATCGGTTTGTTGTAAGTGTATGCTCAAAACTATTCCGGTTGAGAATTTTGCATTATCGAATTTCACTGTGAAATATTGAAACCCGTCTGATATTTTTTCTAACGAATTGCTTTGCTCTCAGTTCAGATCTCACCTTTTTGCTACATCGACTCCAAGAAAGCCTTCTATTTAGATACCGATACGCGTGCTTCACGCAAGAAATAATAGCTGTGTTTTCCACTGATCGGCATGGCTTTATATTGTTTCCGATGGATCACATATGGTACTGAAATGCGGATTTCTTCTTTTTTTACGACGGAACTATCATAGCTGTATAGCTGTTGTATTTCACCTATACTTTTTGTCATTATCATTCTCTTCCTGTTTTCTCTAAATTCCTGTGTTGTGAAAACACATGATTCTCTGATCCATCATGTTCGGAGTAACGTCTTGATCATACTTTTTTACCTAAATATTACGTATCTTCAACCACTATGTTTCTCGTAATTATCTCTTGTTTGTCAATCAGAAACAGTGCACAGTACATCCCCGCGAGCAATGCCTATCCGTTTCTAATGAATCCCGGAACGACAGATACCACAGCGCCAGTTGGTGGATTAAGTGCCGGTGGTTCACTTACTCATGGTGCGGCTCCGCGACCTCCCACTCGGCATCGATTTCAGTCGGCAGCAACTTCAACCGGGGCTGGGACCACTGCCAGTTCGATGTATGGAAGTTTCAAATCGGAACGCCATCCATCGTTGGCCGGAACTCAGTCCACAGCCAGTGAGGATGATCTGATGTTTGAAGATTTCGCCCGACTTCGGTTACAGTCCGTCACGGGATCTCGAAAAGCGCAACCGAGTGTATTCTGAGGTTTTGGACGATATGGTTTGTTTGCTTTCACACATTGTAGGCACATGCTCTCATCAACGGACACGGACGATATCTTTCTGTTTATCAGTCGAGCGTGAAGTGGTACAAAAGAATCTACCTCCTCTGTCTTTCCCATTCACATATAACCCCACACACGTAAGTGCACATTACTACCCCTAATGCGAACCTCGTCCAGGTGTAATGACATTTCTCTTTTGGTGGATCTCAACCGTATCGGCTTTATCATCTCCGTTCTGCTTCCCTATGTTGTTTACTTGCACTCCGTTTATCCAGTACGCTATTTCGAACAGTTCTGTTTCGATGGGATTTTGTCTCTCTCCTATCACAAGTGTATTTTTTACCATCGATCCTATCCGTGTACATTATGATCGTCCTTTTTTCGTTTTGAGAACCCGCACTATTCTATTGTTTGCAGAAATGACCGGGCTAGTTGATCTTTGACAATGTGTTTGTGGACATGCGGTCTATTCTCGTTTCATTCTGCCTTCTTCCCATATCCACCCTAATTTGGTGCTGAACATTGCATAATCATTGACTAGGCAGTTCTTTTAACACCTCACCCAAAAGCAGTTCATACTATGCATAGAACGAGTTTGTGTAGTCTCACGGGATGCATATAACCTCAATCATTGCAACTAGCATACAGACGTAATTCACCCGGCAATTGAATAAACCAGTTCACATTTTCACCATTTTTGTCTCAGTCACGCGCGTGTGTGCGCGCCAGCTGCTCAGACTGGTTTCTAAATGTATATCTCTTCTTACCCGGTCGAATCTTATTTGCGATCTCACGGTCCCCCTTCTGCTGTGTCCGGCTTATTCGATCGCTATGTCGCACAGTTCTCTTCAGCTTCATTTTATCCGCGTCCATTTTACGCCCAACTGTGTACTCTACCTGATTGAGACTAGCGTGATTCGCATTTGGTCACCCTTTTTGTTATTTCATTTACGTTTGTCACCCTGTCTCAGTTTCAGTTTCATTCTCCTATACTGCTAGCACCAACCGGTTTTTTATGAAATAAGATAAAACAGCATTTCATCTGTGCTTTGATCAGTCTGGCTTTCAGGTATGCAACTGTTTGTCTGTGTTTGCCACGACTCAGCCGTCCACCGTCCTTCCTCCCTCCATTCGAACGAACACAGACCCTCACGTACGCAGCCACCAGTATTTGAAGTCATAATGAATACAGCATACTACCTGAAAAGAGCCACACGCACACGACACGTACTTTATTATTCACCCTGTACGACTTGATCAGATTGTAGCCGGGACGTTTTCCCCAGCTGACTTATCTATTTATCCTTATTCTTTTTGCCATTTTCCGTTCTTCTTTTTGGATCATATCTGCCGAAATAGACTAACAAACATTGACCCGTTTTAGGCGCGCGACCCGCTCAGGAAACATTTGGTTGTTTTCGTTGTACCATGGCATTCAGATCTCTCGACACACACACAAAACACGCTCCCATTCATTTTTCCCCTAGCTTGTCTATTCCCTCCTCTCTTGTTCTGTCTATCCCACTCAACCTCATTTCATCACGTCTCTTTGTACACTCGTTCTTCGACTGGATTCTTTCTCACTTTGGCCCCTTTCTTGTCTATCTCTGTTTATGTCAGCACCAGTTTGACTAATGTGACTCAAACTATGGCATATTTTTTTACCACACATGACGACTACAACCTCAAAGCAGTGATGATCATTCATTCGATCATTTAGACTTGTTTTCAAATAACCACTATCGGTTGGTTTACTTCGGTTTTCGCATTACTACCTATTAAGTTACTCACACCTCTGCTCGGAATCGCTGTTGGTGGCCGGCGTAAGAAGTTCTTGCCGTTTCATTTTCGAACATCTCTCCAACTAAACCGATAACGTCGTCAGCTTCCCTTGATTAAAGATCCCAGTGGTTAGTTAGTCAAGGTCACCCACAGGTCACGGAAATTCGACGGCGGGGTCCACATGCACGTGATCGCGATTTAGGTCCTCGTTTTCTCAGTATTTTACTTGTGTGATCGCTTTTCAGGGGCGATGGCAGTGGTAGAAATCAAACAATCGGCCACAGGCCAATTTAATCGAGACGTAAATCATCGAACCACTACCGCCTGGTCGGGTTGGTTGCCGGTGTGTTAGTCCAATCGAGTTTTAGCAATTTCGCGGGCGTTCAGCTTGCTGTTGGCTCCCCTCAGTTTGGTTCATAGCGAGGTGAACTACTAGTCTCATAGCCTCCAGGTAGTGTAGTATTATCACTACTAAATGGCAACGATAACTCTCTTGTATGAAGGAATCCGTTGGATGCAGTGTTTTTCACGCAAAATAGAACGATCAATTTTCCCCCTTATAACATGAATAATCAAACTTGAGAATTCACAGATTTGGGAACAACGATAGTGTACTCCTTTGTCAGCTCAGTATTTTGATGGAGGCCTACTATTTCCATGGGAACTATTCCTAACGATGCATGAGAATGAATTCAAAAAACGAAGAGATTTATTTTCCGTGGATCGCACTAGGCATTCATGTGTAATTTCGGCGGATGAGCTTATTGGACGGTGCAAGACCGCGTTTGGTGCCTGTGTGTGCTGCATGTCAGACCAGTGGACAGTCAGCACGGGTTCACACAAAATGAACAAGGGAGCGATGTGAAGAATGTGTGGCATGGTCACTGGGCAAAGTTGCATGAGAGTAGTGGATGATTTGCTTCTAGTATACTCCCCTCGAGAAAATTATTGCAACCCTTCGTGACTTTTAGGTTATATCTGTTCCCGGTTTTACGATCATCACTATTTTTGATAAGCTAGACCGCACTGAAAAGAAGAGGCCAAATAAGGTATAACATCAAATTATCTTTTATTTTAATGAAATATATGGAAGGAATAGAATTTTCATCACAACAAACAAATTGCACCCTCTATGTACCACTGAAATCATTTTAATACTCACTATAAGATTTTCAATCACGTCCGTGTCAGTATCGTTCTATTCCATTACCAAAAGATTTGCCCAATTCTTGTTTTCTGGTGGAATCTCTGCAGTGTTTCTACACCTTTCGAGTAAGAACGGTCCGAATGTGTTCTATTGAGCCCCCTGGAATGTCACACCATTGCTTTGATTCTGCAAAGTAATAACAGCGACATCATACTGTGAAATGGCTTCAGCAGCAGCTGATGCAGCTCCAATGTACGAATATAAGCACCAGAATATTGCACTACACGTGCTGTGGCGTACTAAGCACATCTGTGAGTAGTGTGTGAGCGCACAAAGGAGCGCTTGTTGGATTTCCACGGCATCTCTGAGTGGATTAAAGGATCGTTCTATTGAAATAACAGAAGAGACAAATCGAAGTTCACTAACTAGCAACCAATTAGATGTCTCGTGTGCTGTTCTATTTAACCATATCCTATGCTGTTCTTCAAACAGAATTCCCCTTAAACCGTTGTGATAATATTCTGCGGTGAAACTTCTATTGTTTACGATATCTTTTCGGTAAAAAGAAAGATAGTTTGATGAAATTTCCTATTTGATCTTTTCCTTTGGGTGCGGTCTAGATTCTCAAAAATAATAATGATCATTAATGTGGGAGCGGATAAAATCAAGAAATCTAAAGTGTTGCCATAATTTTGTCGTGAGCTGTTTATTGGGGTCCGTCGTGTATAGAGCAGAAAGTGGATGGAAGCGCACTGATAGTGAGACCCAGTTAGTTCGAAACAACCACTGTCCGGTGCTTCCTAGTCTTTCAGTTTGAGCTTTATTCGCTCTACACTACGCCATATAATGAGGAAAGTACCGAGTAAGACAGGTATATTATGGATTCGGCTAAGTCCCCTGGACGGTCCACAAAACACGATCGATCCAGAGACAATGGTAACGACTTGCATCAGAGTAGCGAGAATTCACCTTAAACATCTACCAACTGCGATCAAGATTAATCATTTCGAATGATCCTTTGGTTGCTTTTCTACCTTTGGAATATATCGCGCACTCACTTAACATGTTCTTGTATCCTTCAATATTCTTATAACTGCTGAAATTAGATTCTTACACAAATTTTTGGATGAGACAACGAAACATTTTTGGTTCTTTGGTGTCATTGCTGATCCAAAAATTTATTTCGACATCTGATACTGTGAGCATGAAACCCAATAACATCTCCAAATGTCTCAGCAACCAAACATTCCCCCCTTTCAAGTAACTTAGTTATTATTATGCTTATATCCAAATATGATATTCTTCTGATAATATTTCAGACTATTGAATATGAATAGACAGCTTATTGAGGGCGCGTGAAGTTGATGAACAATAACAGTTTTCCTCATGTTGTTACTAGTTTTTATTCAAATGGATCACAGAAAACGGATGTTTCCGATGCAGTAACAGCCGTTACCACTTCGGATCTGATATATCGATATGCACCAATCCTTCCCATCATTGTTTGTTACATGTTGTCATGCGTTTGGATTTTGAGTTCTTAGTTCAATTAAAAATCGTTGAATAGCAATGCAAAGGCTTATTCCAGTGAGAATTCGGAGACGTTCAACAGCAGACGTTTTGATTACCTATCCTCGTCTGTATAGATTGAATCTGATTAGTGATGGGCAGCTTCACTGTCGTCCATCTCAGTACCACGCCTATCTGAATGGGTTCTTGGTCTTATGTAGTCGGTTTCCGTAACCGAACCGTCGGTTCTTTTGACTGTGAGGTTAGGAAAAAATGTGTCTGGTACACGGTTTATCTCTTGTACATAGGTGAATAGCCTATTGTCACGACCCTACACCCAATGACTGCCATCATGTATTGAATGGTTATCTATTGCATGACCAAAACTCCAGTGCCCGAAATGCATACATTTCAAATTATTGCAGAATAAAGTGAAACAGTACGGCCCTAGTTTGCTTCTGTTTTCGAATCGGCNTCGATCTCACTTCAGCAAACACCGTTGGAGCTGGGCTCATATAACTAAAGTATCTCCTTATAATACC